TTGGAAAGTTGTATTAACTAACCAATTGTTACGTCTCTTAACTAACCAATTGTTACGTCTCTGTTGGTTTGTTAATTTCCGGTATAAATTATTTCCGAGGAACTTCAGCGATACAAGTCCTTTCTTATTTAAAACTAGTTTATTCTTTCTTGATACAACTTTGTAATACACAGAATTTCCACAGTCACTTTAAATTTAACAATCTTTTATAAACACACGCTATAATTCACAGCGATTCACACACTTTACTTACGGGGCCTACTGTTCGCTTGACTCAATTTATTTCTCTTCAATCTATCTCCGGCTTATATACTAAAAAAGAGGGCGTCTAGCACACGCTGGGATATTCGTGAGGTTGCCCGCTAAGTCATGATCCTTCTAGAAACTCCAGCGCACATGCTCCCAACGTCGCGTGACTTCCGCTGTCGTAGCACAATCATAACCTAGAGTTATTGGTATTAGGTTTAGTTTGTGCCAGGGAGGTCTATACAGTACATAAAAGTGTGATAATAGTTTGACATCGCTTGTTACTGCAAGGATGACTTCCACCTGGTGTCGACTTAAAGATGACTTTAGCGTGAACTAAGAGTGAATGCAAAGTTATATTTTTCTGTTGTTTCAAGGCAGATTCACGTGGTATATTGTTAGTTTTGTCAACTTGTTGGATGATAGTGTTTTCTTTATGACCTCTTTCAGTCACAGTCTGTTTCAAAGGTCACAGTTCTTGCTGGAAGGCCATAAAAATGTTGGTTTGTCTGTACAACTTTCCAATAGTCTCGTTTCTAAGTCACCCATAAAAATGTTGGTTTGTCTGTACAACTTTCCAACAGTCTCGTCTCTAAGTCACCCATAAAAATGTTGGTTTATCTGAAAAATGGAAATATAATAGTAGGTGTTAGTTCTTGTTACAACACGTCTCTATATAGGAAAAATGGAAATATAATAGTAGGTGTTAGTTCTTGTTACAACACGTCTCTATATAGGAAAAATGGAAATATAATAGTAGGTGTTAGTTCTTGTTACAACACGTCTCTATACATGAGAAATGGAAATATAATAGTAGGTGTTAGTTCTTGTTACAACACGTCTCTATATAGGAAAAATTGAAATATTATAGTAGGTGTTAGTTCTTGTTAGAACACGTCTCTATACAGGAAAAAATGGAAATATAATAGTAGGTGTTATGGTTTTGAAACGAGACCAAAGTTTTTGAATATTTACTATTCTTCTTCTAGAGAATAAAGGGTTATGTTTAACTAACCAATTGTTACGTCTCCCTATATAGAGACGTGTTGTAACAAGAACTAACACCTACTATTATAAATACATTATGGACTTGTTATTGGAATATATTATTGACCTGTTATTGTAATACATTATGGACCTGTTATTGGAAAACATTATAGACTTGTTATTGGAATATATTATTGACCTGTTATTGGAATATATTATGGACTTGTTATTGGAATATATTATTGACCTGTTATTGTAATACATTATGGACCTGTTATTGGAATACATTTAAGACTTGTTATTGGAATATATTATTGACCTGTTATTGGAATACATTATGGACTTGTTATTGGAATATATTATTGACCTGTTATTGGAATACATTATAGACTTGTTATTGGAATACATCATTGACCTGTTATTGGAATACATTATGGACTAGTTATTGGAATACATGAATGAAGTGATGAAATTAGAGTATTGTATAAAAATATCTATCTTTCTCACAGAATAATAAAACTCAATATCAATAAAACTCAAGTAGAAACTTTCATCTCATTATAAAGAACTACGTTACTTACGAGAACGGGGTTCCTTTGATTGGGCCATAATAGTAGGTGTTAGTTCTTGTTACAACACGTCTCTATATAGGAAAAATGGAAATATAATAGTAGGTGTTAGTTCTTGTTACAACACGTCTCTAAACATAAAAAATGGAAATATAATAGTAGGTGTTAGTTCTTGTTACAACACGTCTCTATACATAAAAAATGGAAATATAATAGTAGGTGTTAGTTCTTGTTACAACACGTCTCTATATAGGAAAAATGGAAATATAATAGTAGGTGTTAGTTCTTGTTACAACACGTCTCTATATAGGAAAAATGGAAATATAACAGTAGGTGTTAGTTCTTGTTACAACACGTCTCTATATAGGAAAAATGGAAATATAATAGTAGGTGTTAGTTCTTGTTACAACACGTCTCTAAACATAAAAAATGGAAACCCAATAACAGGTCCATAATGTATTCCAATAACAAGT